AACTAAGTGATTGTTTTCTCCCCTCCCTGTCCTGGGTCAGCAGTGCTATGTCCTCTCTGCAGCAAGGAAGGGCTGACCTACCCACCTTGGGCCTGGCAGAGAACCCAGATGGGGCAGAGTAGCCAGGGTGGCTTGACCAGCCCCCAGGACGCGGGTGCTGCAGTTGGTACCGGGAGGAGCCACAGGTGCCCATGACCCTTCTCAGCCCCACTTTCGGCACCGAGTTGGGCAACACCAGGGGTCAGTGCCCTCACACCACCACAGCCCCTCAGCCAATTTGGGGGGTGATGTCAGGAGACAGAGTAGCCTCAGGGCTGCCATTGTTTCAACCACACCTCCTCCAAGAAGTCCTCTGGGCTCAGCCCCATCTGCACCTGTAGCTCCGAGGTACAGAGAGAAAGGGCCGAGCAGTCCCTCAGTGCCTCTGGCAGACTCAGGGCCCAGCTGAGCTCCCTGGGCCTCTGTGAGCTTCCCCATGGGGTTTCACAGATGGCAAGGTGTGTCCTCAGCCAGAGGTCAACCTATGGGGCAACAGCCTAGGAACTCAGCGAGGTTACCCCCATTTTATAGATAAGAAGACTGAGGCTCAGTGAGATTTAAGAACTTGCTCTAGGGCACAGTCTAATGAGTGCCACACCCAGAAGCTGTTTGATTCTAAAGAGGGAGGTCGTAAGCACCACAGCACACTCTGTTCATCCTGCATATCGGTGCTGAGTCAGTGCTGGTCAAATCTAAACAGGATGATTAATAACCATAATGAGGGTGATCAATAGCAGCTAGCATTGGCCTGCCCACTCACCCAGGCCTGCACTTGGTGTTTTAGGTAGGGTGGATACAAATATGATTTCCATTTTACAGATGGAGAAATTAAGGTTCAGAAAAGCAACTCCCTTAAGAACCCCAAAGACTGTCTCTCCCCTGACCTTGCTCCTCTGGGGCCTCAGAACCTAAGGAGTGAGGCTGAGATGGCCCCCAACCCTCTCGAGATACAGGCTTGACCCTCACCTTGGCTGCCCTGGCCTTTCTTCTCCCCTGTCCAAATCCAGGCCACAGTCCTACCCTTCTCCAGCCCAGGGCCATCCCCCAGGACAACAAGGCAGGCAGACAAGCTTCTTTCAGCTCCCAGGGGCCCTTCCCACGCAGGCCAAGCCCACCCTGAGGTCAGACATCGACTCGGGGGGCTGTCTGCCCTGCCTGCCCTGCCCAGCCTCGCTGTGTGACCCCGGACACTGCACCTCCCCTCTCTGGCCCTTGCTTCTTCCTCTGTGAAGCACAAGGCTTCAGGAAGCCCAATCTCTCCCTTCCCCTCCCTCCCAACTGCCACGTGCATTGTGACGGGTAAGGCTGGAGGGCTCCTCCCGGCCAGGTCGCATTTTTCTTTAAACAGGTGGCTCTCGTAACAGCAAGGCCCCAAGAGCCACAGCGGTGCTAAGCCAGTGGGCTTTGTGGCCGGAAGACGAGAGGCGCGAGTGAGAGCTGCAGGTGCAGGTGGAGAGCCACCGCAGCCCCCACCGCGCTCCCCAGGGAGGAAGTGCGCCCCGAGGACCTGCCCGCCAGCCAGGTGCGTCACCGGCCCCAGTCAGCATCCATTTCCCCCCAAGAACTGCGTGACCCTGGCTTTCTCAGCCCACTCTACAGAGAAGGAAACTGGGGCTCAGGGAACTGTCCACCTGAGCCCTTGTAGCTGCTAAGCGGTGAGGCAAGCATCCCTGCTCAGTCTGTCTGAGGCCCACGACCACCCTGCTTCTAACTCCGCCCCTGCCCCCACAAAGTGGGGTGTAAATCTGCAAAGCAGTTAACAGCATCTACCTCCATCTTGGGTGGGTCTGGGTTCACCTCTAGCTCTGCTATTTTCTGGCCATGTGACTTTGACAAGTTCCTTCCCCTATCTGAGCCTCAGTCTCCTTATATGTATATGAAGATAATAACAGGACTGTATTTTTTTTTAAATATTTGCAACATATATGTTCTCATTTCCCTGACCAGGGATCCAACCTGCACCCCCTGCACTGGAAAGTGGAATTTTAACCACTGGACCGCCGGGGAAGTCCCATAATAGGACTTACTTTAAAGGACTGCTGTGAGCATTAAATGAGTTAATATACACAAAGCAGTTAGAACAGTGCCTGAAACAGAGTGAACATTCAAATAAGAGAAAGAAAAAGGTATGTTAGACATTGAGCCTCAATACTCTGCACGAGAGGGGGGCCTGGGCTGTTGCAACTTGGATTGGCTCCCTCTGCAGCCTACAGCTTCAAGGCTGTCAGATTTTGCATAGCATTGAACAAGCCACTTCACCTGTCATGCCTTAGTTTCACCATCTGTAAACGGGGACAAAAACATCTGCTTTGTCGCGCTGTCCAGAGGATTCTGTGAGATAAATCACCCAGGTGCCTGGTACCCACAAACACTCAAATGGCAGCATCGTTACTCTTATTACAGTGACAGCCGTGTATCAGCATCGCCCTCCATGACACTGAACACCTGAGGGCCATGAGATTTTCCAGTCTTGCCTCCTGTGGAAACAGACTGATAAGGGCCACCCCTCCACCCACCTTTGTACCTCCTCCAGTCCCCAGCAGGTGTTCAGGAAGTTATTTGTTGGAATAACATAATCAGAGCAGGTAGGCGGCTGCCTAGGGTTTTGCTCCTCAAAGTGTGGTCCGTGGCCCAGCAATGTTAGCACCTCCTGGGAGCTTGTTAGGAGCTCAGCATCTCAGGCCCCAAATCCAGATCTCCTGATTCAGAGTCTGAACACTAACAAGTGTCAGGTGACATGAATACTCTTGAAAATTTGGAAGACATGGCTTTGCTTTGCCTTCTCAAAGTTGGCCGGTCCTGAGAAACCAAAGAACCCAGCAGCGGCTTCTGTCCCAGAGAGGCCCACAGCTGGGGCACACCACTGCCAGTGGTTTCCACACAGGCAGTTCAGGAAAGCTGGCTAGGGCACGGAATTTTTGAAGCCAGCCCACCCTGGGCTCTAACCCCAGCATCATCACATCTTAAATGTGTGATCGTAGGCCTCATTAATTTCTGTATCTCTCTGTTCATCTGTAAAATGAGACGACACCAGCTACCACCCAGAGTCACTGCTAGGATCAAGTGAATTAATGAAGGGTAGTTTATTCAGAATGGTGCCAGGCACAGAACAATAATTCAACTCAATAGGGTCTAGCTATTAATTCTAGTGGTTCCCCATCCTACACACAGGAAGGCAGGGAGTTGGCTCTGGTCACAATGGCTGAGATCCACACTCCTGGCTTCACTGACCAGCTCAGACACAATCCCTCCTCTCAATTATACAAAATGTATCGCATCTCACTAGGCAGTGGGTGACACTCTATCTTCCCTCTCAAGCATTACCTTTTAATCTTTGGACACCTCTGTTGCAGGTGGAGCCCATTTCCCAGCTGCAGAAACTGAGGCCCAGAGAGGGGAAATGGCCTGCCAGCTTGAAGCAGAGAGGATTGGGAGAGGCCCAGATAATGGGCACAATAATAGTCCCTCCCTCACAGGGCTGTTACAGACGTGTTGTAAGGATCAAGCTGGTGCATATAGCAAGTTCTACAGAAGGGTCGTCTGTGATCTCTCTCCATAACCCCCATTTCACTCCCAGTCAAGAGGTTTTGTCTACTGCCTTGGGATGCATATTAGGGTAAGGTGGTTCTCCAGCCCAAAGGCAGGGGGACTCCCAAGCATTGAAAAAAGGGAATTCCCTGGCAGTCAGTCCAGTGGTTTGGCTCTGTGCTTTCACCAAGATTCCCCCAGGGGACTTCCCTGGGGGTCCAGTGGTTAAGACACTGCACTTCCACTGCAGGAGGCATGGGTTCCATCCCTGATTGGGGAACTAAGATCCATCATGCTGCATGCACAGCCAAAAAAATAAATTTACAAAAGGGGGGGAAGCCTTCAAAGGAACAAAACACTAATGATGGGACATAGGGCATCCAGGTGAGCTGTGAAGGAGGCATGTGGATGGCAGATGTTCAGCCCCAGTGCCTGAAACATCTGGCAGGAACAGCAGAGGCGTTTTCCCTCTGGTGGGGGGGGCATCAGAAGTGGGGACCAGCCTTTACCTCGTCAGAGTCCCCCTCCCCTTCTCCCCCACACCCAGGACTCTCACCCATGCTTTAGCGATACCTGCCATCATCATTCACACCTATTTTTCAGAGAGGCAAATTGAGGCTGGTTGCAGTTCCTTCCTCTGACCCCACCCAATCCGCCTCAAACCCTACAAGCTGATTCACTCTGCTGGACAGACTCCTGGGCTCCTTTCCCTGGACTCTCTCAGTGCTCCCGAGCCTGCCAAGTGGGCCCAGACCCTCCCTGACCCCACCATTCCCAAGACACCACAGCTGGTGGGAGAAGGGATAAGGAATTTATCCCTTGGCGGCTAGTGGTCATGGCTTGGCCCAGAGTGAACCCTATGGGGGCCCAAGGCCTAAGGCCCATCCACCCCCTCTAATGTGGGGAGAGGGGTTACCTGTTCCCCCTCCCTACCCTTTCTGGCATGGCCCACTGCTCTCACAAGCACATCCCCAAACCAGGGTTCCTTGGTGCTCACAAAACAGTCATAGTGTTGGAGCATAAAGCTGTTCCCATTCACCCTGCACTCATGTGTTGTTCACACTAGGTGCCTGTGGGTGTAGACACAGGGGCCGGTTTGACAGCCATGGTTCAGAGAGGTTGAGCCACCTGCCTAGGCTGCTCAGCGCAGGCATTGCTAGGATGCCCATTTGACAGACAGTGAAACTGAGACCCAGATGGGCCAAATCAGAGGCAGAAGCAGAACTTGGAGGCCAGCCAGGGGCGCCTCCAGATTCAGGACCCTTCCTGTCTCACTGCCTCTCATTAACCGGCGTGGAGGCGGGCAAGGACTTGAGCTGAGGGAAGAACGCGCCCGCGGCTGCCCTGTTTGCTCTGGGAGCTGCAGATGCCCCCAAGCCCTCCAGCCAGACAGGGAGCCGGACCCCGGAACCCGAGCCCCCTCCCGCGCTCACTTTGGGCTTGTCGAAAGCTGGCGTCTGGGCCATGGTGCCAAGCGTGCGCCCCAGCGCTGCTCGCTCTGCCGAAGGAAGATGGGTGGTCCCCGCTGGGTCGATGGCCGGTCCGCTTCTCCAGGGGCCCGTAGTGACCGCGGCCCGCCACGCTCCTCTACCCCTCCCCATCGACAGACGCGCTGCGTATTTCCTGGAATTTTGCCGCTCGGGGTGGACAAATCCGAGTCCCCTCGGAACCTTGACCGGCCCCATGTCTCTGGCCCGGGACCCCGGGTTGGAGCCACCTGTGGGCTCAGACTCCAGCCGCCTGGCCGGACTCTGCGCCGGCCCGGTCCCTCCTGCAGGGTCACAGGACTGCCTGGGCGCCTACATGTGCCAGGCCCCAGCTGGAAACTGGGAAATCGGTGCGCTTCACAAACTTCGTGGGGCTCGCACTCTACCGGACAAGACACACGCTCATCGCAAAATCACACAACAGAAATGTATAATCAAGAAGCTTTAACGGGGACCAGTCGTGGCCGGCAGGTGGGGGAAGGCTTCTCCTGGGATCTTAAGGAGTTTATCAAATGAAGGGGGTTGGGGTGGGTGGGGGTGGAGTGGAAGAGGGCAGCCCGGGTGGAGAGGGCCTTCTGTGTTGCAGACCCCAGGGAGCTAGGGAATGAAAAGAGGAGGGGGCATACAGCAAATTCTCTCCTAGGCATTTACCCTTGAGAAACGACCCACGGTACAGCCGGAGAACGCCTGCAAGAATGTTCCCACAGTGCTGCTTCTAATAGCAAAAACATTCCAAACACCCTGATGCCCATCCCCAGGCGGGTGGGCAAATAAACTGGAATATTCACAGCGTGGAATATTATACAGCAGTGAAATTGAATGAACTTCACACAACAACACAGATCTATCTCACAAGCAATACTAAATAAGTAGCAGAAAACTACATACACGATGATGCAACATCTAGAATGCTTAATGAAAGCAACACCCAAACTATGCATGTTTAGACAAACAGGCATCAGTAGAAAAAAAGCAAGAGAAAATATTTGAGAAGAATGGTTATCTCAGGGGAATGGGGAAGGAGAGGAGGGGGGAGGAGCATACAGGTACTTTCAGGTTATTGGCGATGGTCCAGTACTTGGGTGGGGTGATGGTTCTGTTTCATTTCATTATAGAATAAATACAGTAACAACACATAAGGGAGAAAGAGGGGGGTAGGAGAGTGGAGGACAAGGGGCCAAAGTCAGGCAAGGAGCAGATCACAAGGGACCTGTTGGATTTGGTGAGGATTTGGTCCCCCCCCCCCCCCCCACCCCAAGAGCCCTGGAAAATCAATGGAGGGTTTTAAGTGGAGGCAAGATAGGATGAAACTTTCATTCAGAAGAAACATTCTCCAGCAGCTGCTCAGAGTGTAGTCCTGAAATCATTAGCATGATAACCACCTAGGAGTCGATCTGAACCACAGACTCTCAGACCCCGTTCTAGCCCTCCTGAACTGGAATTTGTACTTGAATATCATCCCCCATGTGGTTCCTATGCAGATGGAGGGGAAGCCCGGGCTCGCTGCTGTGAGGGGAAGGCACTGCAGAGGGGCCAGAGGAGGAACGCGGTAGCGCAGTGATCTGAGTAGAGATGGCTGTGACCATGGGGAAAATCAGACTCAAGCCACATCTAGGGGTAGAATCAGTGAGGCTTGGGTTGAATTGTGTGCAACAGTGAGGGTGAGAGTGAGTCAAAATGACCCTTTTTTACTCTATCGCCCTAGAACATCCCTGACAGTCTAGTGGTTAAGACTCCGGGCTCCCAAAGCAGGGAGCACGGGTTATCTTACCTGATCAGGGAACTGTGATCCCACATGCCACACAGTGCAGTCAAAACGTTTTTTTAATAAATAAAACACATTTACTAGTGGAAAGAAAGAGTAAGATAACTATCTCAAATAAAAGTGAAATTAAAAAAAAAAAAAAGATCCTTGATGCATTGTTGAAGCCAGAGGAGTTTTCTGTAAGACCGTTTCCTGGCTTCTCATGTCACTTAGAGTGCACAATAATGGCTCCTGTTTACTGAGACATACTTGAAGTCAGGTACTCTGGGAAGCACTTCATAAGCACCATCCCATTTAGCGTCTACAGCAATTCTGTGAAGTAGGATCAGGTCCCATTTTACAGATGAGAACACTGAGGCTTAGAGAAAGGAAGAGCCTGCTTGGCACACGTGTTGTATGTGAGGGAGCTAGGATTTGAATTTGAATCTGATTCTAGAACCTTCATCTGTACCTTATTACTGTCTCCCCGTCCCCTGTTCTGACAATCCAGTCCCTCTCCAATGTCAGTCTCATCACTTCCCAACACATTCCCCAAACACCAATCAATCTGGATGGCTTTCTGGCCAGCGAAAGTTGACCCAATTCTTTTCTATTCCTCCCACTGTCCGATGGAATCTAATTTTCCTCCTTCTGTTCCTGCACTGTGCTGAGTGACTTGTTTGATAGAACGTGATGAGTATGACATTCCTGGACTTTGAGCCTAGATCAGAAGAAACCTTGAAGCTTCCACTGGGGCCTAGTGAACATTCTTTCTGGAAGCCCCAAGTTGCTGTGTAGGAAATCCAACTGCCTTGAGACCATCACACTAAAGAATCCTGTATAATCACTTCAGTCCACCAGCCTTTTCATTGTCTCCACCAAGAAACCAAATACGCTGGTGGAGCCATGTTGCACCCTCCAGACCAGAAAAGCTGCCGGCTGAACCTGTGACTTCAGTAGTGCTATGTGGAACAGAAGAATCACAAAACAGCCAACCCAGGGTCTGGGGTCCTGCCCTACACAATTGTGGTTTATAATACCTGGCTGTTATTTGGAGCCTCTGAGTCTCAGGGTGGATTATTAGGCAGCTGTAGATAATAGAAATGCTGACCCACTCCAGCCCCCCGCCCAGTCTCTGCTCTTAGTTTATTCCACTCTGACATCTGGAAAAGCCTTTTCCTGGATCCTGGAAATTATCCAGATTATGCTTTCCATTCAGGTCAAATGCAAAGGAAAATTATCAGCCTATATGCTGCATTTATATCTCCTATTTGCCCTTCCAGATGCATTTCCTGCCCTTCTCACTGCTGCTCTGTGCCAGGCAGCCTGACCATCGGCAGGCTCTCTTGCCCTCTGACTTCTGGTTGGATTGGTCGATAGGGGGCACCACTAGGAGGTCAGAAGGTGGGAGGAGGGAGAAGTCAGGATGTTTATTCCCTCTTTTCTGCCGCTTGCACAGTCCCTGGGTCAGCTCTTGTCTCCCTGCCGGGGTCCAGGCTTCCAGCAGGTGGCTCTCTCCACACCATTCCGTCTCCAGGTTCCCTCCTGCCCCATGGACTACTGCACTGGGCCTTTATTGATTTCCCGGAACTCTGCTTTCTGGGTTAGGGTCCCCCCCTGCCCCTCTCCCCGGCCTTCCCCCACCCCAGCCCGGGCCCCAGAGCTTGAGATAAAAGAGTCAAAACACAAGTAGTTTGGGAAGACATCCCAGGAAACACAGGAAGGGCAGGGCAGAAGTGAGACAGGATGTGAGAGGAGCGGAAACTTCCGGGCAGCTTACCAGACGGACACCTGGAGCTCAGCCCCTCAGGGGACCTCGGAGATGATGTGAATGTGTCCCAGAGGCGCCTCAGCTGAGGGGCGAGGGAGCTGTGGGTTTATCCACCTACTGCATGCTGTCATTGTTGGGAGGCTTGCTCCGAGATGTTAAGTTCCTGGTGCTTTTAGCTTGCTCAGGACACTGGCTAAGCTTGCCCCCACAGTTAGAAAACCCCTGCAGGGGAAGAGTGTGGAGGGAGAGGGGGCCGGGAGAGAGAGGTGCTGGCTCAGGTGTTAGCAGCAAGTAGCTTCTGGCATGTAGAGGTGATGGTGAGGGCACACAGGCAGTGTACTGACCACTATGCCTACCTACCTCTTTGTAAATAATTCCTTTTTAAAAATTTTGTGTTTTTTCAACTTTACTGCTACGTCACTTCAGTCGTGTCCGACTCTGTGCGACCCCATCCCTGGGATTCTCCAGGCAAGAACACTGGAGTGGGTTGCCATTTCCTTCTCCAATGCATTAAAGTGAAAAGTGAAAGTGAAGTCGCTCAGTCATGTCTGACTCTTCGCGACCCCATGGACTGCAGCCTACCAGTCTCCTCTGTCCATGGGACTTTCCAGGCAAGAGTACTGGAGAGGGGTGCCATTGCCTTCTCTGCTTTACTGAGGTATAATTGACAAACTTGTAAGATATTTAAAGTGTATGATGTGATGATTTGATATACATATCCATCATGAAAGGATTTCTCCCCATTAAGTTAATAATGCATCTGTCACCTCACATATTTACCTCTTTTTGTGCGTGTGAGAACGTTTAAGCTCTATTCTCTCAGCAAATGTCAGCTGTACAATAGAATTATCAACTAAAGTCACCAGATTACACATTAGATCCTCAGACCTTATTCATCTTGCTGTTGTATAGTCACTAAGTCATGTCTGACTCTCTGTGACCTCATGGACTGTAGCCCGCCAGGTTGCTCTGTCCATGGGATTTCCCAGTCACGAGTACTGGAGCGGGTTGTCATTCCCTCCTCCAGGGATCTTCCCTACGCAGGGATCAAACATGCATCTCCTGCATTGGCCAGCGGATTCTCTTCCACTGAGGCATCAGGGAAGCCTCATTCATCTTATAACTGAATGGAAATAATTCCTCTATTAAACTGTCCTTGATTACTCAATTTGAGTGTATCACCTGGTTCCTGCCGGAACCCTCAGTGATACAGGCTGGTGATGAATCTATCCACATTAGTACACAGTGGGTCAATGTCTACAGAGTTGGAGGAAGGATGGAGAGAGATACTCTCCCCCAAATTCATTATCCACAAAATTCATCATTCATGTTGAAGAAAAGCAAGACCTATTCTCAAACATGCAGGAACTGTAACCCTCACATACCCTTCCTGAAAAATCTAGTTCAAGATTTAATTCCAGCCAACAGCAACACACATACACAAAAAAAAAAAAAAAAAAAAGAAAAGAAAGAAAGAAAAGAAAATGCAGAATTAATGAATAAGAATATTCCAATCTGAACCAATCCTGGTCAGGGGTATTATCTCCAGTTAAAGAATTAAGT